TGTTCATTAACAGACATATTACACTTCCGAAACACCTCAGTTCTCTGTCTCTATTTTATACATTCATCTCTCTTCTACAGGTTAATAATGCAGGATGCATGATCAACACTAGGGAGGTCATTGCTGAAAATCTTGAGAAAAACTTTGTGACCAACACCCTAAGCACGCACATTCTCACGACCAACCTCATCCCTCTTCTGAAAAAGTAAGATTTTGATTTTTTTGGTCTGCATAAGTTTATTTATTATTTTTTATTATTATTTTGTTAAGTCTGTGAGATGAAGTCCACCTTTATAGATGGTAGATGGTAATATATCTGTTGATTTATATTGTTATGCATTCTATCACTGTCAAACTTGTGACACAGAAATATTTTTTATACTTCTTTAAACTGAGATTATATGATTGCATTTATCCATTTAATTTTCATGAGTTTAAGATTTTTTTTATAACAAAATGATATTGCTCACGTACTGGAACTGAAATGATTATGTAGTGCAGGTCATTCACCCATTGGAGGTGGCTTCCCATACTGTCCACTGAAGTTCTTTGTGGCTGCAAAAGGAGTCAGTTACCGATGCTGTTATTGATATAGAAATTTGAACATTAGTAATAGCAGTATATGGTAAAAGGAAATATTTCCAAAAATAAGAAAAAGGTTTAAACAGTGTGAAATAGGTATTACTAGTAACCGACTCGTTAGTGGCTTAGTACTTGTACATGTCATGCGATCCGCAACCATTGGGGTAAATTCTTCTTCTTCTTCTTTCACCCAAACAGAAGTGAGAAATCCAGAGTTGTGGTGGTCACCTCCGGAGGAATGCTGGTGCAGAAGCTCAATGTCGATGACCTGCAGTTTGAGAAGATGAAGCCTTTTGACGGAACAATGGCTTATGCTCAAAACAAGAGACAGCAGGTATAGTTCCTTTATATATTTCCTTTTTATTTTTATTTGAATTCATTCCTTTTTTCTCTTTTTCCACATTTCATCTTTGTGTTGTGTATTTTGTTGAGACATTTAGGTTGGATCTATTCACATATTACCCAGGTTTTAATTTGGATAATTTGCAGTAATATTTAGTTTTTTATATGTTGATTAATAATGTTTGTCAGAGTGAATTTTACTAAAATACACTTGTTTGTGATTTCATGTAAGATTGACCTCTCTCATTTGTTTTTTCTCTCATACTCATACCCACTCATACTCATGAAGGATCACTATTTACAGCTTTCCTTAGTTTTCATACCTAAAGGATTCCTCTCCATTAGAAATTATAGTTGCAACTGAATGTTACTAAATGGCAAGTGAGGAGATGCCAATGTTCGTGTGACAGTAATCCGGCATCCTAGTTCTAGCAGCTGTTATGCTCCTTGCTTAAGGATTATCCTCCTTTGACATGATTAGTTGTCACAGGGAATCAATCCATCGGAAGCCCTGTATGAATATAATAGTATGAGTAAGTGGTCCATGAGTCCACAGGATATAGTTTTCAGTATCATCTCCAAAACAATTATTTTAATCTTATATTGGATATTTAAACTTGATTTTCAACAGTTTGGTCCATTTTGGGGGGAAAATTGCTGCATATGTTGCCCCACAAAATTATTTGAAAAATTATATATTCTTCATATTCAAGGATTACATAAATCTGTTTTGAAATGTACTGGAAATGTGTTACAAAGCTTTTCATCACTGTCCCTATAAATGAAGAGTGGCTTTATAAGCATTTGTATTTTTTCTAGTTGCATGAATGTAGTATCTACCTTGGAAAAGCCAAGTCAGACCACTAGAGGGCCTCTGCATAAAGGCACTGTTAGGAATCGTGGGCTAAAGTGAGTAGGGAAAAATGAATTGATTGACTAATCAAATTATTATTTTTTTAAAGGTGGTGATGACAGAACAGTATGCAAAGCAGTATCCTGATGTTCACTTCTCCTGTATGCATCCTGGTTGGGCAGACACGCCTGCTGTGAGGAATTCCATGCCAGATTTTTACAATAAGGTCAGTTTTTAATGTATGCATATTAATAATAATGATGATGATGATGAGTAAAGATGATGGTGAATAATGATAAATAAAGATAAATAATGGTAATAATAATATTAATGATATGAAATAAAATTTCTTCAAATAATATGAACAATTTTATAAAATGTAATGACTGTACCCACCTTCTTTCCTCTACTTCCTCCCTCACTACCAGTACAGTATATCCAAGATAATCTCCTTTATGACTTCATTAGACACAGATAGAGAAAAATATCCTTTAAGTAATTCTATTTTGTTGCAGATGAAGGATAAGTTAAGGAGCCCCAGTCAAGGAGCAGATACAGCTGTGTGGCTCGCTGTATCACCTGCTGCTTTGGAACAGCAATCTGGCCTTTTCTTCCAAGGTAGGAACTTTGTACATTATTTACCCAAAAATGATGATGGTAATGAGTCCTTACTATATATTATGAAAAGAGATGAATATGAATCCATACTTGCAATGTTTGGAATGCATCATTTTGAAGTAATTGTTACAGACAGAGGCATATGGAGAAGGAGGGGGGGGGTAGGACAGGACGAGTGGGTGGGAGAAAGAAAGGACAAGAAGGGAAAGGACAGACAGTTAAGGAACAGGGAAGACATGAGATAATAAACGGGAGATAAAAAGAGGGAGGAAGGGAGTGAGTAAGAGAAGTAAACCAGCATTTCCAATTTCCTTACAGATCGCAGTCCGGCGGCTGCACACCTTCCCTTAGCTTGGACGAAAGTCTGCACCAAAGATGAAGAAAACTTCATGACTCTTTTGAACGACTTGGCAGACAAATTTAAGGCATAAGTTACCAAGATCTTCTGAGCATCATTTCCTTTTTTGTATTTTTCCTTTTCCTCTGCTTTTGATTTTCGTTTGTGTCTTTTCCCATCACTCTTTGTTAACCAATAAGGGAGGAGAAGTTTATTGAGTGTACCAGTACTGTTCTCTTTCTGATAAACTTACCTACCTCGTCATCATCATTTCCATCTTCATGCAGCTTACATTCATATAAATCAAGTTCCCAATATTACTTAAGATTTAAAGAATGAAAAAATGTTTGTATATACATGAGTAATATGTATGTTCTGGTGTATGAATAGTTCCTATGGTATGGTCATCAGTTATTCCGGATTGACTATATTCAGAGTACAATCTAAGTGCCTGTAAGCCATTCGTTGAAAATCCTGCTTTAGGGAGTGAAGGGACTAATCTTTTAGAAGTTCCACATGAAAAAGAAGGTACTCTGGAATCTTTACTCTCAGAACTGTTTGTGATTCTCGTTGACATTCATGAGTGGCTGATGGGCAGTCCTGGCCAGAACAATCTTATTTAAAGCTATAATTGCATCATTAATGTGAAATTCCAGGGTCACAATCTTTATAAAATTTGCTTATAATAGGTATAATTATTTCTGAATCTTTTATGAATACATAGATTTACTAAAGGATTATATGATTCTGCTAATGATTCTGTCTATATATTATATACTAAGTCTTCAAATTCTTGTGTTAATGATTTAGACTATAACCTCCAGATACAAATTAAGAGGCATAATAAAAGACAAACAAAAAATAAAGTGAAATGTAGATTGGTAATTTAACCACTTCAGATATAATTTACCATCCACAAATATTACTGAAGACTCGTTTATCAGTTAATTGTTGTTTTTGTAGTTTTGAAATAATTTTGTAGAAAAGATAACCATGTATGGCATTTTGTAATATATGTGTATAATTTTTTTATCTATTTGTTTAATGCTAAATGTGATATTGATTTCCAATTAACTTGGTGCCAACTGGTTTTCCTGCACCATTGAGCCTCATTAAGGTCACCACACAAAGTAGTTGCTTCTAAGAACATATATTTTCCTATTTGGTGAATTTACTGTAGACTACATGATTTCTGGGAAATGAGGCTAAAATGAAACAAAGTACTTTCAAGAGCAGAAACTCCTCAAACAAAGTTGTTTAGCTCACAAAGCTGAGAGCAGTTTGAGCAGTGCTCTTTGTGAAAGATAAAGAAAAAAGTATGAATGAGAATGAATATCTTGGCAGCACAAATATTGTATTTCAAAAAATACATAAAATAAGTTAATCATTCTCATTCATACCTTTTTTTACAGGCTCGACTGCATTTGTCATGTATATGTCACCTGTCAGCAAGCCTTTAATAGAAACTAGGAGAGTCCTGTAAACAAAAACAAAAAAAATGTGCCCACCATACCATACTAGTGTGATGTAGCAAAAATATATTTATTTATATCCCCCCCCCTTATACTGATGCACAAGGAAAGGATGAAAATGTTGTAGTTTTTCCCAGACATCACATAACATAAGATACAATCTGTGCTAAACAATCCCGAAGTATATTGGAATTATGCCAGAATGTATGAAAAATATATATGTAAGGAAGAAATTAAGAAACCCACAAAGACATGCCACTTATTAGATGTGTATTAGATCTGTTGGATATGGCAGAAAATAGTTCACAAGGATTGAAATCATAGCTGTGTGAACTCCAGATAAATAGTTTATAAAATCAGGCAATCAGTATATAGGTTACATGCAAGCAGAATATTAATTTTTTATATAGGCTTTCAACAAGTTTTAAAAATAGGTTATTAAAAAAGGAATATATAAATATTGCTTAGCCTTGGCTTCATTTTATGAAGAAGATTTAAATCTACTTTGATATTTCTTTTAAAGCTATTTTGCTAGTGACACTTCTTTTTTGAAGTGGTATCTTTATAGAAGCTGGAAATTTGTAATCAAGAATTGTATTCAAGTATTTTTGCACTTTTGGTACTTGGGTAGGGTTCCAATTATGCTTTTATTTAGGCTGAGAGGAGTCCTGCTGAGATGAACAATAGGAAACTAATGCTTGGAACTTAAAGGAAACTCAGATATCAAAACAAAGAGGTTGATCCTTATGGAAAATAGTATATATGTCCAATACAAAAATTTTATTTATTGTATAACCTTAGCTGCATTGGGCCTCTATTGTAAAAGCCTTCTATTGAGTTGCATAATATATCATCAAAAAATTATCAAGGCCCATACACCACAATTAAAGCCACTTTCAATTGCTGAGTTGAACCTGTCACTTACCTATGTATGTTTAGATTAAGAATAAATTGTTATATTTGTTTGACTAAGATGTAAATATTTTTGTCTCATCTTGTGTCTCTCCAATACTTGATATATGACGGAAATGTAAACTTTGTCCAATAAACGCAAATTGCACAATCATTGGAATTTTAGCATCTCTTTATAGTGCCTAAACCATAACCACATAAATACTTTGTTTTTCTTCTTAAACTGTTGCATCTCAAGGGTTAAGAAGTTTTTATTATTATTATTTCTCTAAAGGAAATCAGTACAAATTAAGTGTTAAATTAAGGTACCAATGTCCTTTTAAGCTCAACAAAATCACATTGTACATTAAATGACAGGTACATAAAAACTTTAACACACTCATTTCAAGATATTTATCCTGTGTGATGTTCTTTTCTGTAAATTTTGTATTAATGAAAATGTATAGTTTTGACAACTTATTTTCATTTGCTTTTTACTATTACTATAAATTTCCTTGGGTAAAATCTGTCTTGCAGGAGGCGTTTACAGCCACTCTAATCTCCATTGCTTTGAATTCTTTAGTCACTGAAGCCTTTTAGCATTTAATAATTCTGTAAATTATGTCAAAGCACATCAATTTGACTGAAACACTCAAAAATGTAGTATGTTCATGTTGTGCTACTTTATTAGATTTCATTTCCTTTCTTACACTTCAAACTTCATTTCTTACAAATTCTTGGGTTTCCTCTTCCATAATAAATGTTTTCTTGTTTCTCTTAAGAATGTACACACCTCAACATGCATCCTATGGTACACATCCCAAAATAGACAGCTACAATAACTTACATACATACATACCTATTTATCTTTATGTATATGGAAAGTTCGACTTCATAGATGGAAGATGGACAGATATAATTGGTAGCCTTGATATTCTGTCCTTATAATAGTTTTTCTAGGTTAAACATTAGATTTTTTTTATGTGGTCAACTGTAAATTTGAAAAACACTATACATTATACAAGATTTAAATGTTTGAGATGTAGTGAAAGCAGTCAAGATACAGAATAAAACCTGGACACTAATTCACTCACTCATCAATTGTACAGAATTGCTGGAAGTTAAATGTTTAGTATCAAGTACTCTCGACATTAATCTTGAAGTTATACCAAATATATGTGTACCTTTCCTCCCTCATTTATATGTAGGTAGATTAACAATTTTAGTTTACATGTAAGAGTCTGAATTTTTTGTTTCATGCTTCACTACTTAGTAGGTTGTAATGAAAGACAACATTTTCTCATATTTTTAATGATATTATTGGCATACAATAAAAAAATAAATAAATGATCTTCACTTCAGGGCCAGTTGTAAGGTAAAATTTCAGAATCAATTTTTAGTTGTTCATCCCAGCCAGTTTACAGTTGATAACATACAATAATGAGTACATTGTATATGTAAGAATGAGCCCATGAAGCAAATAGATCTGAACCAAAACGAATATTATTATTAAACTGCACCTCTGACATCATATGAGGACAAGTGTTCTTAGGTGTTCTTATCCCAATTACCTAAAAATGCACTTATTAAATATTTTGTTACTTCTAAATTTCATCTGTAACATAAACATCAATATACTAGAATCTCATGATTAGTATGAACATACCAATGCTTATATTACAAGTGAGGTTGAATTAAGAAAATATTTTATACATTTCTGGGCAAGTGGTCTGAGGACACATTTGGAAAGCATGCCTTCATATGTGCAAATTATTCTTTGTCAAACTAAATGTGTACAAGTCAAAAAAAGAAACTTTACCTTGAAACAGAGAAAGGAGTGACTGATTTCTTGATTATCTTGGGTTTAACACTTAAAGAAATTTAGAAGTCAATGATTCAACTCAATTTGCTTTGAGTGAGACAGACTTAAAAGAATCACACTGATATGTTTGGAAAATGCTCCTGGAACTAAATTTGGAGTAATGGACTGAGATCACAAGAGCAAAAGGCTAAACAATAAATGAATATGACCTGACTTTATACGTACTTATATCCAAAATAAATTTTAAATTCAAAGATAAAGTCAAGCAAAAGAAACTTCCTGAATGAAACTCTTTACTTGTACACGAAGTATCAGATCTGAAGAAATGAAACTGATAACAGAAATTGAAGACTAGAGGGAAAAAAGAACTTGCTATGTCATAACGTTTTACAGAAAACTGAGAAAATGGATTTAACAATTATGCCACATTATCCAGCCTCATTTCTTCCATAAAATAAAGTCATAATATATTTAAACTTGCTAAACTGTATCAGCAAGATGAACCATAAACTCTATATTTCCAGTTCCACCTTTGAAATAAGAGACGATTGACTAAAAAACTCTTATGACACTGTCTAGATATTTGGCCACGAGTTTGGGTTGGCCAGGTTCATAAGCTTTGAGCCTTGACACATCTAAGTTTGCTAGAGTTTCTTGTATTGTGGATGGATAACAGCAGAAACATAATTCAGATTTGGAGAGTTCTTCAGCAAGCTCACTCTGATGATTTTCCATCAACGTGTTATTAACGACAGCTATTAGTGGTTTCCCTGCTTCAAGGGCCTCAAGGCAAGATCCGGCGCCTGCATGACTTATGACCAGATCTGCCGTAGCAAAGTCCTCCGCAATGCTGGGCTTTAGACGGAAGAATGACAAGGTAACACCATGACACTTCTGAGTAGGAGGAACAAAGTCTCCCTGACCTATTTGTAAGACAAGACTTGTATATCCTTTGGAGTGAAGAATCTTAAGGGTCTCCTCCTTTGACATCACCTCGATTAGGGCATTAAAGTGGGTCGTTCCAACAGTGACAAATACCTTTTTCCCCGCCATCACATTGGCCCTCTTGTCTGAGACGTCTTTTGGGTTATTCTTCCTCTTCGGCAAGATCGTTCTTACACACAACCTCGCAAACCTGAGATGTAGGATTGTAAATTTGTAATACTTCAACTTGTTTTATTCAAAAGGAAAATAAAATGAAAAAATATATATATCATTCCTCCAATAAAGCTTTTTTTGTTGACGAAAGAACACTAATGATCATATGACAGCTTATCTCAAAAC